GAGCGGGCCTTGCTTCTTTCCACCCTCCCCAACTCTGCAGCTACTCCTGGGCCTTTGCCAGCAGGCCAGACCATACGCCACCAGGCTTCCCTGGACTATGATGGTGCAGGGAGGTTCCCTGCACAGCAACGCCATTTGGGCTGGGCGTACGACCTCCTTTTGGGAGAAGGGTTGCCCTCTAGGATGCTGATCTGCCCTTGAAGGCACACACACCTCAGTAGGCTGTTTACGTATATCCCTTCCGTGCCCTGGGCAATGCAAGTCCTCGGTGCACGGGATCTGTTCTGCAGGTCTCACCTCTGGGCCCCCGAGTTCAAAGTATATCCCCACCAGGGTGAGGTGTGTCAGTCCCAATTCGCCCACAGAGAGCCAAAGCTGGGTCTATGCCTCTCAGCCTCAGGGTCTGCACCATTCTCCTGGGATCACCGTGCCATCAGCACCTGGGAGGGCTGGTGGGTAGGGAGCTCACAGTCTGAGTTCCCGTTATTCAGCCTAGGGTCCCAAGATCCTGTTCCCTCGAGGTCCCTCTAGCTCATGGCTATATTGTCTCTCTAGGCAGCTGCGGGTAGGGTCGGCAGTGGGGAGAGGTAATATGACGCCTGCCACACGGCTCGAGTCTGTGCCCACGGAGGTGCCCCAAGAGATTTGGGAGCCTGGTGTTGCGTCCGCTACTGGCTTACCGCTCACTGGTGGCTGCCATCTCTGGGCTCATGTCTGCAGGTCTCTCCACCCGCTGGGGAGCCCACCAGCAGTCCCAAATGCAGGGGAAGGGAAAGGTGACTGAGCCACCTACCCTTCCCAGTGGTCTCCAGGCTGCTCTGGCGGTCTCAGCTTCCAGTTCTCCTCTGCAACCTCCTCCCGTGGAGTCTCCCGTGGTCTCAGGTACCCCTCCTTCTGGCCCTCATCCACTGTATGCTCGTCTTCTTGCTTCTTTTTTCTAATTTCTGCTAGAATCTGTCTTTTCTGCAGAGACACTGTGTCTGGTGGTGTTTTTTATTCTGCCATCTTGATCCAATCATTGAAAGATGAGGTTTTAGAGGAAGATTATTTTATAAATTAGCAATAGGAATGGCTGGTTTATAAACAGCAGCTAGTAGCAATACACTCTGTCCCTTCTTTCTTCACCATTCTGTTCCCTTTATCCTCTGCCTACTGCAGAGTAAAAGGCACCAGGCAATGCTGCAGGTGCCTCTAAGGTGATTTTTGTGGAGGTCTCTTCTTAGCCTACTGATCTAATATGAATTTCTTGTGAACATTTTAAAAAATATTCTAGAATGCTAAACGTAACATACAACATAATAGCATCATAATTTGTCCTAAGTTTGAGATTTAAGCTATCAGTCTGAAAGTAAGACTATATAAGAAATATAAGAAAATAGATAATGAAAAGTATAAGTGGAATAGTAGAAAACTCATGCTGAACTTCTGCACCTGCCTTTGTCAATTTGAACTAACAGGGTCTTTGCCTTTTACCATATCATTTCCTTACAGATTAATCACTAACAATTTATGGTTAGGTAAAAGCTCATCAATTGCATAGTTCAGTGGATCTTAAGATGTGTAAATCTCCTTCCTCTTGCATTGAGGTTGGGAAAACACTGCTGGAACTGTAGGTTGAATTCAGAAAATGAATCTTCTATAAATTTTTATGGGAATTAATATCTTGCTTCTTTTTCACTTTTATTTTATTTTACTTTATGTTTTTTAATTTCAGCATATTACAGGGGTACAGAGGTTGAGGTTACATATATTGTCTTTGCCCTGTCCAAGTCAGATCTTCAAGCCTGTCCATCCCCCCAGACAGTGCACATCACACTCATTAGGTTTTAATATACCCATCCCCTTCTCCCCTCTCCCATGTGCCCTATACCTGATGAATGTTACTACCATATGTGAACATGAATGTTGATCAATTAATACCAATGTGATGGTGAGTACATCTGGTGCTTGTTTTTTCATTCTTGTGATACTTCACGTAGTAGAAAGGATTCCAGCTCCATCCAGGATAATAGCAAGAGGTCCTATATTACCATTATTTTTTTGTGGCTGAGTAGTACTGTATGGTATTCATACACCACATTTGATTAATCCACTCATGTATTAATGGGCACTTGGGTTGTTTCCACATCTTTGCAATTGTGAACTGTGCTGCCATAAACATTTCTAGTGGAGGTGTCTTTTTTAGAGAAAAAAATAAGATGCTGCAGTATCATGATACACATGGCACTTGAAGCACTGTCAAAATATTTCAGTGTCACTACAATTTGTAATGCCCTAAGCAGCAGTGTAAACAATGAGAGTGCCATATACTGTCTCTGTCACAGCTTCTCAACTCTGTAATTCAGTGTGAAGAGAAAGCAACTGTGAATAATACCTAAAGGACTGCCTGTGACTGTGTTTCAGTAAAACTATTCTGGGAAGTAAAATTTGAATTTCATATAATTTTTATGTGTCACTAAATATTATTTTGATTTTTCAAACTTTTTAAAAATGTGAAAATCATTCTTAACTCACTGGTTGTCCAAAGTGGTGGCAGGCCAGATTTGGCCCAGGAACATGGTTTGCTGCCCTCTTTAAATGATTAGAATGCACAGCTAATTAGAAACATTGCAGCTAAAGTCTCAGTGCTTTACCAGATTTATAACAGAGTTAATACAAGTAACTGAACCATCTCCTTTGACTTGTGTGCATTCCTTTGCATGGTGCATCTTTGTAGTGCTTTGATTAGAGGAAGAAAAGCCAAAAGGCCTCTAGGAACACTAAAGAACTACAAAAAGTCTGGGAATTTTGAAAAATATCTGTTCATGTCCTTTGCCCACTTTTTGAGTTCTAAATAGATTCTAGTTATCGGCCCTTTATCGGATGTGTAGCTTGTGATATTTTTCTCCCATTCTGTGGGTTGTCTGTCTGCTCTCTTGACAGTTTCTTTGGCTGTTCAGAAGCTGTTTAGTTTGACCAGGTCCCCATTTATTTACTTTTGTTGATGCTGTGTTTGCCTTTGGGGTCTTCATAAATTCTTTGCCTAGGCCAATGTCTAGAAGAGTATTTCCAACATTTTCCTCTAGAATTCTAATAGTTTCACACCTAAGGTTCAAGTGTGTTACCCAGCATGAGTTGATTTTTGTAAGAGGTGTAAGGTGTGGGACCTGTTTCAGTCTTCAACATGTGGCTATCCAGTTTTCCCAGCATCATTTATTGAGTAAGGATTCTTTTTCCCAGTGTATGTTTTTGTCTGCTTTGTCGAAGATTAGATGGCTATATGAGGATGGTTTTATATGTGGATTCTCTGTTCTGTTCCACTGGTCGATGTCCTAAAGTACCTAAGAATATGTTTAACTAAGGAGGTAAAAGACTTCTACAGGGAGAACTATGAAACACTGAAGAAGGAAATAGCAGAGGATGTAAACAGGTGGAAGAACATACCATGCTCATGGGGCGGCAGAATCAACATTGTTAAAATGTCTATACTACCCAAAGTGACCTACAGAGTCAATGCAATGCCTATTAAAATACCATCATCATTTTTCACAGATAGAGAAAAATTAATTTTACTCTTCGTATGGAACCAGAGAAAACCCCGTATAGCAAAATCAATCATAGGCAATAAAAACAAAATAGGAGGTATTAGTTTACCAGACTTCAAACTATACTACAAGGATATCATAATTAAAATAGCTTGGGACTGGCATAAGAACAGGGACATTGACTAGTGGAACAAAACAGAGGACCCAGATCTTCTACCTATTTTCCCTGTCATTCAAGTGTTTTCCCCTATGGGTTTCCTACTCTGAATACGGGGCAGGTATTCTTAATTTGGGGAGCTATATGGCCAGAATAGAATTTCTAATTAAAGTTTTTTCTTCTTATGATTATTAGTATATAAGTACAAAGTCTTAAGAATTGTACCCTTTAATATCCATTTCCCTTATTTAAGCATGAAGAAAACACTAATTTGAATTGTACCAGAGTTATTCAGGAAATCCAGATTTACAATAATTTATTTAGCTTTACATTTACATCACTCATTTTTTATAGTACTAGCATGTTTTTAATCAGCTTTTGACATTAGAAATTAAGAGCTATGCATTACAAGCTATGCAAGAAAGTAAATAGTAATGGCTGCTTTTCTCAGTCCCAGAGTAAATGTCAACTCTCAGATTGAATGCTGTATATAACAAAAGACATGGCTACCACTGAAAGTATTTGTGATAAAATCAGAGACTTGATTTATACTTTATTCTCTGTCAACAGTCATACCATGGCTGATATAAAATTTGTTGATAGAGCATTCCTTTGAAGAAGTGAATGAAAGCTAAAAAAATCAAATAAGTCTGATAGTTGTAGAAGTAATAAAATTAGGTTAAATGTGAGTAAACAAGACTGAGTACAACTACTTAACATATAGATTAATGTACATATGAAACAGATATTTGCACAGATTGACATTGCTAGACATCTAGGAATTCCTTCTTGGAATTAAGACAGGGTTCATTTTTTGTTTTTTACAATGCTGTTCCTTCATGTCTGCAGACCTCTGGAGAGGGGTGACACCAATGGAGAGTGGATGCAGAGAGGTGGCCTTCTTTGTGAGTAGGAGGTTGGTATCTTGGCAGCTATATTCAAGATTGCTGTGATCTATGCCCTGGGCACACTAGTAGTTTTCACACATTTTCCTACATAATTCTCTCAGTAAGCCTCTGAGAGAGAAGTATTTTTTATTATTTTTATTTTAAAGACAAGGAAGAGGGTAAGTAACTTGCCCAAGTAAGTATCCTAAACAGGAGTCTACCGAACTACTGTCCCCAGAGCCAAACACCATTACACACCTGAAAGGTGTGTCTGGAGTGCATGTACGTGACGACATATTTATTATATCCCAGGAAGTGAGCACAGGTGATGGTTTAAGGCCATTTGGTAAAATGTTGCTTAATTGCTTATCCCCCAACAACTTGGCCTTTTTAACATTTGGTTTAAGCAAGTTATTCTGAAGAAATAAAATGGTAAGATATGTTATAGCCAAACAATATGAAAGCCTTCTTTGAAATTAGCCTTTGACACCACTGACCATGTCCTCCTTGAAAAGCTGCTCTCCTGCAATGTTTCATTATCAGGGAATGCTGGCTGCTGAACATCATGTCTGGGTAGCTTTGTTGGGTGTCACAAGGAACAATGCCACATAGCCAGAGTTTAATGACTAATTCCCATGCCTTCTCACTGCAGAAAATCATGTCCAACCACGAGTGGGCACTACCTGGTCATTATGGCTCCTCAAATCCTGGTTGCATTAACCTTAATTGCAGGCTCTTTGGAATCTGTCCCACAAATCCAAGCTTCAGGGGTCAGCCAACGATTTAGGCAGAATGTACATGCTATTTGCGGTTCCCACTATCAGGTTTTCTCCCTTCTCAGAACCCCCCTCACTTCCCAGCTGCTGTGGGTACCTCTATCTTGGTTCTCTAGTTGTTCTAGCCAGCAAGAGTACAGGTTGCTCTCTAAATTTCAGTCACTCCCCATTACTGTGGCACCTGCCGTCAGGCCAAATGCTCTGAGAATGAGAAACTCACCCAGTGCTCTGCCATTCCCTTCCTACAGGTGTCAAACTTACACCTCCACTTCTGCCTTATTTTGGTTACTCTGCAGTGCCTTCTGGAAGGTTTATTTGAGTTTGTTTCTGCAGAATGCACAGTTGTTACCTGTGTGCATATGTTGCAGGGAAGAGGCAGGGGTCATCCACTTTTAGAATTGGAACCTCAGAGAGCTGTCTTTTTATGTATTAAAACTGGTGCTCTTAACTCTAGTGTAACTTACTGTTGATTTTTCTTACTTCTGCCTATTTTGTTCATGTTGTCTTTTTCTACTAAAATTCCTTCACATTTTCAATTGTAGTTCAGTAGTGATTTATTGAGTACTTACTATATGCAAGACACTATCCTCTATCTGTTGAAGTCTTATTCATTCCAAATACAAATCAAACGCCAGTGCCTCCAAAATCACGCCCCTCCCTACTGCTAGATAGATGTCATTTACTTTCCTCTAAATGCCTTCGGTACTTTTTTCCTTCCTTATGACATTTTATTCCTTACTATGCTTGCTTTTATCTCCAGTATGAGAGGTCTCATTACTATTTTTTTTTAAATTTTTTTTTTATTTTGGCATATTATGGGGGTACAGATTTTAAGGTTTCAATAAATGCCCATTTCCCCCCCTCCCCCCAAAAGTCTGAGTCTCCATCATGACCATCCCCCAGATGGTGCACATCTCACTCATTGTGTATGTATATACCCGCCCCCCCCCCTCCCACCTCCCCAATACCCTATTACTGTAGCACCTATGTGTCCTACATTTGCAAGGACAGTTCTCACTCATGTTTCAGTCCATCCATGCTACCTTAAACATGCTTTTAAAGTCAGGAACTGAAAAGAAACATGAAGGTGTTTGCATTAGGAAGGGAAAAAAAGTTGTAGAATATCAGCTTAATGTCTCTATTCTCAATATAGTGGAGTGGGACATCAGGTAATAAAATATTGTTTATTTCTAGGGAACATTTTAATAGAGATAAATCCTCTCCTCCTTCCTCTTCTTCTGCCTCTCTCTCTTCATCCTCTTTCCATTCATCTTGTCTTTCTCTTTCTCCTACTTCCCCTTCCCCTTCATCTTTCCCTCCCATCCTCTCTTCTCTGTTTTTCTCACTATTTAATTTTGATCAAATTGTCACTTTTTTGTATGCCTATTCTCATCTTTAAAATGGGAATATATGTGTGTTGGTATGCAACACTTTTTTTGCTTTAAGTTGTGACAGTCAAAAAGGAAGCCTTTCTTTTACCTTTAAAAATTTACTGCCCAAACTCAAGTAAACAGACCAATGATGTCCCAAAAATGGATGGGGGTACTCAAATATTTCATTTTTCCTTCATTAAGCTTCTTTCATTTATAAAATATTATCATGATATGTAGTTTGGATTCTCAATAACAAAAGACATCTATAAATATTTTTTTCTCTTTGAGGCATTGTAAGGAACATGTTGTAAAATGAAATTGTAGAAATAAGGTAAAAATGAATTAAAGTAATTTTGTTAATAATTCCACTCGTTTGTTAGATTCACATTGGAAGACATCTGAAAAGGACAACTTACTTGTGTTACTGCCAACATCTCCTCCTGTGGCAGGAGAGCTCCTTGGACTTTCTTTGGAAAATACCTCTGAGAACGACACACATGAGGTTGTTGATGCCCCATGTGTCAATACAGGAAAGACAGTTGCCCAGGGAAGCAGAAACATGGCCTCTATTTTAAAGTTCACTGATGACATCCTCAAGCTACAGAGGTGCAGGATGTTTTAAAGAAAACTGACTGTGACTTGGAGCACTGTAATGAAGAAAGTGCTCAAATAGAACATCCACTTGAGCCCAAACTTTTTGGAGTCTCTCTGAAATACATTTGTAAGAACGACAATCTGCTGACACCTATCATGGTAAGGGTTGTTTTGTCCTCTAAACTAATGGGAAAGAGAATGTGGGAAGGAAGAGCTCCAGAAGATAGATCTGTCCCCAAATGGAAAAACTATAGACACCCATGGTTACTTCAAAGTATAAAAATCTGAAATAGTATTTCAGAATCAGAAGGAAGACCTATATAGTAAGAAGAGATAATGTAGTCTACTGATTACAAGGAAGAGCCACATAAGCCTGCTCAGATAAATTAGGGTTTGCTCTGTAGACAGAGAATCTTCGTTATCCCTCAGAAATCCTTTCTTGAACTCCACATTGTTCTGAAAGTCTTCTTTTATCACTTTAGTATCAGAGACTACTGACACTTATATTTAAGTTTTAAGAATTGTTTTATTTGTAGTTAAAGTGTTTAAGTATAAAGATACAATCTCTGGCATTTACTCTTCTTTTGCATATTCAATGGGTCAGATCAAAGCCACTGAGTTTACATTCTCTGCAATTGATATATTAATCTCTTCTAAGCAGAATTTATTGAGTATCCTCTAATCACTATGGTACATGTATGGCATTTCATGCTATGTTATACACTTATAAGTGCCAGGCACTAGGCCAGCCACTGTTGGTTATCCTTCACAACAAATTTCAGGGATAGTTAATATCACATCATCATCACTTCTTGACAAATTTTTTGAAGCCTCAGAATTTTATTCAAGGTTACAAAGTAAATATGTAGTATAACTAGATTTCAAATCACATGGATTGCATGTCTCTAAAACCCATCCTCCTCTTATACGGCAAAAAGAGGATGTAAAAATAGAAAAAAGGCAAAATTAGAAGACACTTAAAATACTCTGTTAGTAACTTATAGGAATATACAGGGCATTGCTGTGAACTGTAGTTTTCTTGATATATAGTAGATCACCTGAACCTAATTGTCCTATCTAACTGAAATTTTGTATCCTTTCACCAAAATCTCCCCAACTCTAGTACCACCTCTATAGCTTGGGAAGCTCTGTTCTGCTCTCCATAAAAATTGACTTTAATCTTTGTAGCCATCCATCCAGCTCTAGTCCTTCAGTGCTTCTACGCTAGTACATCCTAGCCTCTGGCAGCCAAAGAGGGCAAGTACATGTTCCCTTGTTTATATGTGTCAAGTGCCATTTTGGTTTTTTTCTCGTTGTTTTCCCATAGAATATTCTTTTGTTCCTGAATGACAAAGCCCCTCTCAAGGAAGGCATCTTCTTTGTACCGGCTGACATGGAATACTGCCAACAACTAAAAGAAAAACTTAATTGTGGAGTACTGGTACAGCTGTACTGGGAAAATGCCTTTGTGCTGGTGTCTATTTTAATGGTAGGAAAAGTTCTTCCTTTATTCATAGCACGTGTAGCTCTCAAGATAATTTTTTTTAATTGTGAGCATTATTTCTGCCTACAATGACCTATAATAGATTTAGAAATGAAATAGTGTTAAAAAACATTTCACAAATCAACACTGGACATTAAAAACCATCACCACTGATATGACATAAGATGTCCTTTTAAAATAGTTTTCGTGTCATGCTAATCTCATATTCACTTCTGAAACCCCATGTAAAAGATAAAATTTAATTAAAATTTGAACTAATCAAAGCATACACACTCAGAGATGTTTACCAAAACAAACCTGCTGATGATTTCCTCACTGTCTCACTACCTTCTTAATGAAGGCAAAGTTTTCAAAAACAAACATTTATTAAACTTTTGAAAATAATTACAGAAGTTTACGATAATAAAGTACATTTGTCTTACAACTAAAACAATTTGCTGAGACTGTAGAAAATTCCTTTTGTTTACATAATCATCATGACACAGCTATTCTTTTTTTTTTTTTTTGAGACAGAGTCTCACTTTGTTGCACAGGCTAGAGTGAGTGCTGTAGCATCAGCCTAGCTCACAGCAACCTCAAACTCCTGGGCTCAAGCAATCCTCCTGCCTCAGCCTCCCGAGTAGCTGGGACTACAGGCATGTGCTGCCATGCCCGGCTAATTTTTTTCTATATATATTAGTTGGCCAATTAATTTCTTTCTATTTATAGTAGAGACGGGGTCTCACTCTTGCTCAGGCTGGTTTCGAACTCCCGACCTTGAGCAATCTGCCCGCCTCGGCCTCCCAGAGTGCTAGGATTACAGGGGTGAGCCACCATGCCCAGCCTAGCACTTATACAAGGATTGAAGGAATGATTATGAGATTGATTGATTGAATGATTATGAGATTATGAGCCTCACAGATATCTGGGTGCATTTCCTTGAGCTAGCCCTTTAAGGGAAGGGGAAAAGAAAACTTAGAATGGTTTACTGCCAGACCAGGTCATGTACTCCTAGTTTCCTAAAGTGTGTGTAAACAGGAGGATCCACCCAAATGGGTTGTCCTTTCTCTTTCCCACTATAATCAAGACTTTGGTTATCCCAGTAGCTTTTGTTAGAAAAAAATCAAAGCCTATGTTTCTTTGTCCCCAGTCTGTGGTGAATTGGGACAGAGCTCTGTATAGTTCATGGAAAGGGGGAATTACCTGAAGTTTTTAGCAACACATTTTCTTTCTTGTTTCTCTAATACATACTTGGCATGAGAAAAATGATTTAAAATATTTGTTTTTTAATCTATGTAAGGATTTTCTGAAAGAAATTCCTGAAAGTATTTTGTCATCTGATCTTTATGATGAGTGGGTCAGTGTCATGGATAATAAAGAGGATAAAGATAAAATCAATAAAATTCAAAGGTAATTATTCTATTTTGTTATGTCTCAAAAATACTTTCTAAAACTTTAAAAACTATAAGCTTCTCTGTTAAAAATCAAACTCATATTCATAGGGAGCAGTTTAAAAATGGATTTATGCTAGCTCATCATAGTTATTGTTTTATCCCTAATGCTTTTAACATGGAATACTTGAGCATTGTATACCTTCTGTATATCTAATGAATAGGAGGTGTATAGCACTCTGGGAGGCAGAGGGGAGAGGATTGCTTGAGTTCAGAAGTTCGAGACCAGCCTGAGCAAGAGTGAGATCCCATCCCAGCTATAAAATAGAAAAATATTAGCCAAACAACTGAAAATAGAAAAAAAAAAACTAGCCGGGCATGGTGGCACGTGCCTGTAGTCCCAGCTACTCGGGAAGCTGAGGCAGGAGGATTGCTTGAGCCCAGAAGTTTGAGGTTACTGTGAGCTAGGCTGATGCCACAGCACTCTAGCCCAGGCAACACAGTGAGACTCTGTCTCAAAAAAAAAAAAAAAAAAAAAAATAGGAGGTGTAATTCAGTGGTTCACTAGGTAATACTGTAGGCCCAGTCTATAGTTTATGATCTTAATTTTGGTAAATATTGAAGTAACCAAGATAACTCCTTATATAATTCCTTCAGGAACTGAAGTCATATGGAGAAAATGACCCATTTCCTCTACTCAAGCAATTAAGTTTAGTAGAGTAACGATAGATAAACCAAGAATCACCATACTAATGCAGTATAATCAGTGCTATAAATGGCATATCTAGAGAATTCTGTGGGAGCACAGCAGAGAATCAGTTAATGCCTTGAGAAGTGTCAAGGAAAAGGGGAGTTGCAAAGTCTCAGTCTGATTACAGAGCATGCACTGTTTCTACTCATGCACAGGGAAATTGCTTGGATAACTCATCACCCTCATGCCTGAGTATTTCTCACATTATAATAGACTAGGAAAGAAATGTCCATTAGCAAACAGAAATACTTTGAGTCCTGTAAAAAAATCAAGCATCCAAAAATCATTTATTGGCATATGCTTGTTTAATACAGTTATTTTCTTGAGCAACTTTTAAATGTAAATTATCTACATACTGCTCTTGATGCACATAATTTATATGTGTAACATACTATACCTGTGGAATATACTAGAAACTAAACCAGGTGACATAGTACTACCTCCGCTTTCATTATAGTTTGGTGGAAGCTATTCAGATAGCATCCAAGTTTATATTTGTTTGCTCGTTGTCCAAAACGTTATCTATTTATCCATCCTATAAGTTGTTAAAGGGTATTTTTTTGTAAAAAGGTAATATTATTACTGTCATGCAAATATAAAATAAACACATGTGAAAAGCTTTTCTTTAAATTGTTAGTAAGGAAACCAAGAGATGTTACAGCCATCTTTGTAGATTTCAAATTACCACAACATTTGTGTTCAACCAAGTTGAGCCAGAAACACTGAAAACGAATTTACAAAAAGATACAAAACTGGCCTTTTCTACCAGGGCAAGGGTGCAGATAAATCAGTTGTCTCTCTGCCACCCAGAATTTTGAAATATTTAGCCAAGTGTTATGTGTACTGCTATCAGTTATCTACAACTTACACAATTGTAAAATAGCCCTTGTGAAAAGGGCTATTTTACCCCATAGGAACCCAGAAGCATTTGCTACATGCCTTATTTTCCATTGAAGAAACCCAGTGATCTTTTGGTCTATTTCAAAGTCCTTCATAAGTTACCCTTACAACAACTGTACTCACTGTCAGTCTATTATAATGAAGAAAAGGCTTTTCTGCTATTTGTGCAACAGGAGTCAGAATATGAAAACAGCAACAATCATGACTATCAGCTTATATATGTTTTCTGGATAGTAGTAGTAATAATTTTTGGTGAATAATGATTTAAAAATCCCTTGTCAATTACCAAATGAGAACAGTAGAAAACATACTACTATAGCTTGACTTATATGTGAAAGTGATACTAATGAGGCAAGATTTGGGACAAAATCAACCTTGGAAAATGGAAGAACAGAGCATAAACTCTCAGAATGGCCTGGAAGTCTTTATAGCCGAGATTTGGGTTCTCACCAAGGGAAAACATTCCTGAGTTGCTATGTGGAAATAAAGGAGAAATTAACATTTTAATTGCTGTTTAATTTTATCAGAAAAGTTTTTGTGGGTTGTAGTTGAGATTATTCTGAATTGTTATAGGATTTGCCTAAGTTTAAACACATTCTACTAATTTCAGGAAAATATTTGGAAAGGTTTTTATTTTTTAATGGTACTTTTTCTGCATTCTTTCATATTTTCATTGGGTTGTGAAGACAGTGTAGAAATATACAAAAAAATAAATCCCAAGTGCTTATCTTCTCCTCTTCAGGCATCCTCACTTTGCTCAGTACAGGTTAAGTGAAGCTTGTGTATCTGAGTTGGGTTCTTGATTTGCCCTCTTCTTTCTGCAAAGTTAGAGTTGCATGTCTATACAAGTTAAAAAAAAAAAAAAGTCTTGTGTAAAGAGTGCATTTTTCTGTCTTTAGGCTCTTAGAGAAGCTTCCAAGAGCAAATGTCGTGCTCTTGAACTATCTATTTGCCTTACTATGCAATATTGAGAAAAATTCTGCATCAAATTAGATGGATTCATCAAACCTGGCAGCATGTGTGCCTCCCACGATTGTTTGGCCTGCTACTTCCTGCCGCCCAGAACCAGAAAATGAATTGGCAAGAAAGGTAATGAATGTTTTCTTGTCTACTCTGGGTGACTGCATCACTATTCGCAAGTGAAATTTGAGGCATTAATTATGATAGATAATTTCTTAAATAGCTTAAATACACTTCTAAATTAGAGTTTACTAACTATGAGATGTTTTATTCTATCAAGGTAAACAATACAAAAGTGATTTGTCGGCCGGGCGCGGTGGCTCACGCCTATAATCCTAGCACTCTAGGAGGCCGAGGCGGGTGGATTGCTCGAGGTCGGGAGTTCGAAACCAGCCTGAGCAAGAGCAAGACCTCGTCTCTACTATAAATAGAAAGAAATTAATTGGCCAACTAATATATATAGAAAAAATTAGCCGGGCATGGTGGCGCATGCCTGTAGTCCCAGCTACTCGGGAGGCTGAGGCAGGAGAATTGCTTGAGCCCAGGAGTTTGAGGTTGCTGTGAGCTAGGCTGATGCCACGGCACTCACTCTAGCCTGGGCAACAAAGCGAGACTCTGTTTCAAAAAAAAAAAAAAAAAAAGTGATTTGTCAAGAAGAAAAGTGATAACAATTGATTTACTTTTCTTTTCACATTAAAGAGGATAAACAGTATGACTAACTTAAACCACAGAGTGATAAGAAAGTAGGTGATATGATTGTAAAATTTAAATGAGGCAAAACAAACAAAAAGGATGCTGGAGTTAGGCAAGCCAAGATGCAATTCTCAGCCCCACCACTTGCCTGATGCATAATCTAGGGCAAATTCAGTGACACTGACCCACAGTGTCCTCATCTAAAAATGTGGAAGTGGTAATAATATAGTAGTTACTGAAAAACTTCACTCCTATAGTGCCTGGGAGTTAATGTCATGTTTGAAGATATCATATATATTCAGATGTGAAATGGAGTTTATAGACATGTTAAATGAGTACTAGTACCTCATGTTTGTCTGTCTTTGTATAGGTTCTGTTGCTCTTTCAATTTATGCTTGAGAAGTGCCAAACTTCTTCTTTTGAGAAGAAGTCACATCCCTTTATGGAGAATTTTCAGGAACACATGGCACTAGAAGAAATGCCTCAGGTATTGCCAATAATCGGATTGTTTTTTGTGAAAAGTAGACATATCTTTGTGCAGATGCTTGGGCAATGGTTTTCCTGGAGCCCCTGGCATCTGAGGTAAAGGGAGCCTCTGTCCTGGGTCAGTAGGGCCCAAGGCTTCCAATCCTTTCCTAAAAGGCCTGCTTAATGGGCCAGGGCACAATCCTATTGTGGTAGGGCTAAGAAATGTATATAATGAGGGAACAGTTTTAAGAAGTTATTGGTGGCAGGATGCTATGGTATGATGGTTTGAACCTTTTTTTTAGTAAAACTTTATGAGAATCCCTAATATAATACAGCAGAATGTGCTATGGTTGAAACTGCAATAAAAAGCCCATAGTAGAGGCAGGCCTGTGTTTTTTTTTTCCTTCCTTTCCCTCCTCTTATTGCTCCCTGAGACACTTTTCAGAATTCTAATGTGCTATGAGATGGTTCGAAAGCAACTCACATCATTTGGGGTAGGGAGATGCTGAATTGAAAGACAAACAACCTTCTAGAATATGAATTCCTGTACCACCAGTTACTAGTGGTGTTTTCTTTGACCAATTATTCTATGCCACTGAAAATTAATATCTTCATTTATGAAATATGGATACAAATTTCTTTGTGGTCATTCTGAATATTAAAAAAGGTAATGGGTATTAAAGAACTTTGTGTAAGAGAAATTGATAAGGTTAGTGAATAGTTTCCCTAAGACTAGGTTAATTATTTATAACAACTAGCAAGCTGTGTTAGAAGGCAGAGTCTTTTTCAGAATCTAGGTATAGCTTGCATTATTTCTTTCATATTTTTTCACCATTTCTTGGTCTTATGATGTGTTCCTTGTTTTGAGAAAATCTTTCTTAAGGAAAGCCCATTCATCAGGACCTGAGATAAATCTAGTATATCCCAACAGGTGTTTCTTCTTTCATTCTGTACTAACATTTGGCAAGATGGTAAAAGATCCTTTCTTTCTTCAGAGTGTATTCAATAAAGAAATTTGAATGCTCTACATGGAAAGAGAATTAAACTAAGCATTATAATTTGTTTCTAAAGTAGTATGGGCTCTATTTGTGCTCAGTAAAAGTGCTAATCATGGTTTGATTTTTTGACAGATTTTTTGTACTTTGAACTGAGTACTCTTCCTCAGTAGACAGCCTGGAGTGTCCTAAACAAGGATATTTATGCTCCATTCCCTGATGTGGCGAAGGACCTTGGGCACTAGAAGACAAGCATACAGTCTATGTTAATGGACATTGAGAATCTTGAGCCAGCCGAGGTGGCATACCTTTTATCACTCAATGACTTCTTCTTGGAGCATCCTGAATAGGAAGCTGGTCAGATGGATGGGCCTCTTAAAGCCACACCACATTTTCATTCTCACAAATAGTTTTGAGCTTGAGAACACAGGTGTTAGTATTATCTCCATTTTATGGCATGGAGACTAAGACTCAGAGGGTTAAAGTCACTTGTCCAAGGACACTTAAAAAGTGAATGGCAGAATGAAGGCTCTTGGGCTGGTTTGCTGACTATGGACCCACGCTCTCTTAAGGACAAGATAGTGCTCAAGATGGAGGGATGGGACTCTTCCCATGGACCTTCTGGTTATCCATCTTTATTTTCTTCATTTTCCTCCATCCTCTCCTCTTCTCCCCACCTCACATTGGCACTTCTTCCTCTTGGCTGCATTGTTGTGTCTTCAAATGCCTGCACTGGATTAGCCCTCATCTTATTGTTATCAAAGTTGTTGAAAAGTGGGAAAAGTGCATCTCCATGTCTTTGAATGGAATTCTGTTTCTGGTAAACCATAAAGTGCTGTAAAGAGAAGGATTTCTGGCTAGCTTTTGAGGCAGGTCTCTTACAGGCAAAGCAGAGGTACGTGTGCTGTGTCACTTCTAAACCCTGCCCATTTGGCTTAGACCTGGAAATAGGCCCTGGCTGTGAACAAGCAGCATGTGAATCAGAAGAGAATTTAGGTGGCGGAACCCACAGAGTAGTGACTGTGCTGTGATAATGTGTCAGAAAAGCTGGACTTGCCTTTGTCTTGATTCACACAACCAGGGAAAAACACTAGGTCCAAGCTGTCATTGTTGTGTGTTCTTGGCTTCTCTTTTTACTGAAAGAGTTTGATATCCAAAACACAACCCTAGGTGCATGCTGATTTCTTTTAAGTCTTCTCGATTCCCCTCCAAATTTCTGTAAGGCATCCCTGTATTCTCTAGTTATCATTTATTTTACCTATTCTGAATTTCACTTATCTATTTTGCTTTACCTACAGTGCCTTGGGAGAGCATCCATCCTGGGAACCTGTAATATGCTTGCTAAACTAAAACTAAGGTGATGGCCAATGTCATTGCATTAAAATGATTGTGAATTGGAGTTTTCAAAGGCCTGTTATCAGGGGTCAAGGGCTATTTTGTTTATTCCCTGCTCTCCAGAAGCCCTGATGATTTGTTCTAAATCAAATTGTTTTAAATGAATAAGTAAAGGAGTCAGAAATAATGTTTCTTAATCATTCAATTTGCATTTTTCTTTTTTGGTTAATAATATTGGCTATACCTTTACATAAATAATTACCCAAGCTGAGAGAATAGCATTACTATAATAACTATTAAATTTTTTGTTAGTTCATGTAGGGTAAGAAGGGAAATAATAATGTAACTGCCTCCATAATGTAAAAAATGTTTTTTGTAATACTTTTAGTTTCCACATATTTCAAATGGGTTTTCAGTGTTCACATTATGGCTGGGGCTGGGGGCTGTTAGTAATCTTGACAGTAAGACTTATCTCAACCCTGGTTATTTAGCAGCTATAGTCTCAAAATAGGCAGTAAATAGGCACAGAACAGTCATATTTGCTGACCAGAACTTTGTAGCTTCCTATTGCACTGACACGTTCTCTTTTGAGTTTCTCTACCAGGAATAGCGGAACCTCCTACAAAGCTTCACACCACCTGGTCGTCTGTAGTATTTTCCTGGTTAGAGCTGGAACCCATACTACTAAGTGAAGTATCCCAAGAATGGAAAAACAAGGACCACATCTACTCACCAGCAAACTGGTATTAAATGAGCAGCACCTAAGTGGACACATAGGTACTACAGTAATAGGGTATTGGGCAGGGGGGCGGGGGTTGGGTATATACATACATAATGAGTGAGATGTACACCGTCTGGGGGATGGTCATGCTGGAGACTCAGACTTGTGGGGGGAGGGGGGAAAGAGCATTTATTGAAACCTTAAAATCTGTACCCCCATAATATGCCGAAAAAAAAAAAAAAAAGTAATACTGCACCACAGACCATGCCCAAAGACCCTCTGACCCTGTATACAAGGCTGAAAGAATCACCAATATTAACCCCTAGCTTATTATGATATTAAAATCCCCACCCTGGGAGTGGCTTATCTGCCAATTTTTGATCATAGGCCATATGTAGTCACATGATTTCTCACTGCACTTGCATGCCCTGTATTCATCCCAAATGTGCAATGATGCTCACACCCCTCCTGCATTATTCATTTCACCTCTAGGAAAAACATGTTGATTGGGGAGGTTCATTTGAGGCAGTTCATAACCCCCTCCCAGTTGACATGTCCACTGAAATAAATCCTTTCCTCTTAACAATCCTTGCTATCTCACTAACTGGCTTTCTGTGTGGCAGGCAACATTGACCTCCCCTCCCCCTTGTGGGTTTATTACCCACATGGGGACTCATCCAGGATCCGTTCTCATGGATTGGTGGCCAAGCAGTGGGGAGAGACTTTAAAAGCCTCCCTAGCACCTGTCTGGCTGAGTTTCTGCCAGCGGTTGGTTTTGGTTTCTCCCACTAATTTCCCTATTGTCAGCCCCAAATACATTCCTGATTGTCATGGATGAATGGACCTTTGACTTGGATTTTGGCATTTGCATCTGGACACGTGAGAGCTCTTTGAAGGTACCACACATCAGAGAAACTCATCTGTCCCTCTGGGGAAGTTCTCTGGAATTCCCATTTGGGTGTGGAGCCTCAGCCATTTGGGAGAGTAGGACCTAAAACTCCTCTCTCCATCTGGGGAATTCCTCCACAGTTCCTGTTTGTGCTAGAGGCCTCAACCATTTCACAGGGTAGGACCTGTGACTGTTTGTATTGGGCACTCCTTAGGCTTATTTGTTGGAACTACAGTCCCTCTGGTGTGTGTGTTTGTGTGTGTGATATGGAAAATAAGAATTCCATTCATAAATGTAAAAGTTGTACACTGGGAATCCTCCATCCTTGCTGTTTGGGCTTTTGTGCTATTTGGACCTAGAACAGGTTGTTTGTAGTAATGGTTTGAGATAAGATTCTTGAAAACTTCTCCCCAGTCTCCCTATATAAATATTTGTTTGAAAGTACTATATTTGTTTTGGGTTTTGTTTTGTCTGGTGTGTTTTCCCCTGGCTTGTGTTTGAAACCTTTTAAATTTCTCTTTGTATTGAGTGTTTATCTATATTAGTATGTGGCATATAAATATACTGTCTATGAGAAAGTTTAAAGAGATGCGAGGTTTTCTAGGCCTTCAGCTGGTCTCCACATATTATGTCCTGTTCTTGTACACATGTTTAAATTGATGGGCAAATAACATCAAGAAAATTTCAGAGCTCAAGTGGTCGATCTGGCACTGTGGAGTTAAAATGCAAAGTTTGTTAAACTGTCTATCTTTTCCCTGCTGAAGCTGTGATTTCTAAGTTATGTGTGTTGAGATGGAGCTCACTGAACTATGTTATCACAAATTCAAGGCCAGCTGAGAATGGCCAGTTACTCATTTGAAACTGAATGAAAAAGAAAAAAAGGTTAAAGAGGCCTTTTTAAAAAATACTCAAACTGCCACAAAAGTGCTTTACCAAATATTTTAGTCCATAGTTTTCTTGACATTGCCTCTTGGGACAACTTAAGGTTGGCTATATGAATAAGTCCCAACTTTGTCAAAAACAATTTGATCCAACCAGGAAATGAATGAAAAATTCTCTAAAGAAATTGAGATACTATGGCAAAACCAAGTGGAAATCTTGTGAATAAAGGAGGCATTCAAGGAACTTCAAAACACAGTGGAAAGCCTCAAGAATGGAATGGATCATGCAGAGGAAAGAATCTCAGAGCTTCAAGTTAATGCCTATGTGATAAACAACTCGGATGAAGAAAAACAACAGAAACAAGAGAGGAGACCAAACCATATAAGAAATGTGGGATTATGTAAAGACACCAAATATAAAAATCATTGGCATCCCAGAGAGAGAGAAGAGGAAAATACACAAGGACTGGAAAACTTATTTCATTGTATATATGAGGAAAATATGCCTGGCTGATATACAGATACAAGATGCACACAGAACTCCTGGGAGACTCAATGTGAAAACGTAGTCACCATGTCACATAGTTATAGTTCTTAGGCTGACCAAAGTAAACACGAAAGAAGCTATTCTTTAAGCAATGAGGTGAAAGTAGTAGGAAAGCTACAAAGGAAAACCTATCAGACTAACTGCAGACTTCTCAACTGAAACTTTATAAGCTAGAAGGGACTAGGTACCTATTTTTAATCTTCTAAAACAATAATGCCCAACCTAGAATTCTCTATCTTCCAAAATTAAGTTTCATCTATGAGGGAGAAATGAAGATCTTCCCAGACAAGCAATCACTGATGGAATTTGTGAAGAACAGACTAGCACTACAGGAAGTACTCAGACGTACAATACACACTGAACAGTGCAATGGACACTCTGCCAAGTAAAATCACTCGAGTTAAAGTTGGAACCTGTACCCCATAGTGACCCAGAAGCATTTGCTAGATGCCTTATTTTCCATTGAATATGCCCAGCAATCTTTTGGTCTATTTTAAAGTCCTTTATAACTTACCCTTACAAAAACTATAGTCACTGTCAGTCTATTATAGTGATGAAAGGCTTTTCTGCTATTTGTTCAACAGGAGTCACACTACCTTGTTTTCCCCAGGGTGCAGATTCTTATAGAAAAAAGCAACAATCACGAATATCAGCTTTTATATGTTTTCTGGATAGTAATAATAATAATTTTGGTGACTAATCATTTTTAAATCTCTTATCAATTACCAAATGAGAACAGTAGGAAATATACTACTATAAGCTTGACTTATATGCATAAGTGAGACCAATGAGGCAAAGTTTGGGGCAACCTTAGAAGATGGTGGAGCAGAGCATAAACTCTCACAATGGACCTGGAAGTCTTTATAGCTGAGGTCTGGGTTCTCACCAAGAGACAACATTCCTGAGTTGCTACTTGGAAATAAAAAAGCACTATATCCATGTGTTTAAAACTATTAAATATAAAAAAATAAAAATAAAAAAAAAGCACTATAAATATAATTGCTGCATGATTTTATCAGAAAGTTTTGTGGTTTTGGTTGAAATTATTATGAAATGTCACAGGATTTGCCTTAGTTTATTTTACTAGTTTCAGGGAAATATTTCAGGCAGGTTTTTATTTTTTTAATGAGACTTTTTCTGAACTCTAAATACATTTTCATTGGGTTGTGAAGACAGTGTAAAAATATACAAGGAAGTAAATCCTAGTGTTTCTTTTCTCCTTCACTACAGGCAGTCCTCACTTTGCTGGGTACACATTAACTGAAGCTTCTGTGTCTGAGCTGGGATTTTGATTTTCCCCTCTTCCTCATGCAAAGTTAGGTTTACCTGTCTTTACAAGTTTTTAGATAAATGTCTTGCTAGAGTGCATTTTTGTCTTTAAGCTATTAGATCAGCTTCCAAGAGCCAATGTTGTTCTTCTAGAATATCTATTTGGATGATTACACAACATTGAGCAACATTCCTCATCCAATCAGATGGATGCATTTAATTTAGCGGTATGTATCACTCCAAGCGTTCTTTGGCCTCAAACTTCCTGCAGCCCAGAACTAGAAAATGAATTTACAAAAATGGTAATGAAGTTTTTCATTGTGTGCCTTGGGGGACTGAATCACTATTTTGAAAATGAAATTTGAGGTATTAATTATGAAAGATAATTTCTTAAATAACTTAAATATGCCTCCTTATAAATTTGTATTTACTAATTATGGGATGTTTTATTTTATCCTGGTAGACTATAGGAAAGTGATTTGTCAAGCAGAGAAGCAGTAACAATTGGTTTACTTCTCTTTTTACTTTAAGGAGGATAAACACTATGACTGGCTTCAGCCACAAAGTAAAAAGACAGCAGCTGATAAGATTCTAAAATTTAAATGTGGTAAAACGAACAAACAAAAAAGATGTTGGAGTTAGGCAAGTCAATGTTCAATTCTCAGTGTCATCCCCCCTTCTCATATTCATAATCTTTGGCAAATTCAGTGACACTGACCCACAGTGTCTTCATCTAAAAATATGGAAGTTGTAATAATATAGCATTTACTTTAAAATCACACTAATACAGTACCAAGAAGTTAATGACATGTTTGAAGATATTATATATATTCACATATGAAATGTGCTTTATTAACAAGT